AGGCCAAGAGGGTCCTTCCAGTCATAATACTCGTACTTTCTTGTCCTATTTTTTTTTTCTTCGTATTATTTTCTTTATTTTATTTTTCTCTCTGTTTACTCCTGCTACACATCTATTACTTTTCGTTACACCTTGTACTCTGGTACATGGTTCCCTCCTCTGCTATTATCCTCCTCTCTACTACTATCAGGGTATTTCATCACTTGCTAGTACCTGTAGAGACCCTCACACACCGGTCACCTTTCTTTTTACTACTTCTTTTTTTCCCCCTTCTTTTTGCTGCCCTTCCCCGACGACCTGGTTGCCCCATGGCCGGGTGCCTTTCAGTGGGTCCGGTTTCGCCTTTTTCTCATCATTCTCTCTGCTGCACCGACCATGGGTCCGTCTTCCGCGCCTGAACATATATAGCAACGATTAAAGCGTGTAGCCTCGAGTCCGGTCCCCCCTCCCCTCCCCTCCCCTCCTCTTCCCCTCTCCCGTCATGGAGCCAGTGCCTCCAGATCCAAAGCGTCAGCGACTGAATCCACCGCAGTGGCCGCCGTCTTCTCACGGAGTATCGCTGTCGCTGCCGCCGCTGCGCAAGGCAAGCTCTAGCAGCCATCATCACGCGTCGCAGCCGCAGCCGCAACCGCCGCCGCCGCCGCCGCCGCCGCCGCCGACATATCATCCTTCGCCGACCGCCTACGCGCCTGCTCCTCCTCACCCTCGACCTATCGAGCAGCTCCAGCAGCATCAGCAGCATCAGCAGCATCAGCAGCATCAGCAGCAGCAGCAGCAGCAGCAGCTCCAGCAGCAGCACCCTCCTCCTCCGCCGCCTCATTCAGCTTCCTCCTCCTCGGCTCCGCCCACTCCCATCCATCCGGGGCCGCCGCCCCCCCATCCATACCCCGACGCAGACCGACGACAACATGATCACGAGCCCTGTGGTCTAATGCAACATCAAGATCACCACCACCACTACTCACACCAGGCTCAGCCTCCTCCACAGTCGCACCATCAGCAGCAGCAACAGCACCCGGCTGGCCCCCCCGCTCCGCCCATCTCGCCAGCTCAACCGCCCTACCCTCCCCACGTTGACACGTCCATGGTGAAGAGGGAGCTCGAAGACTCTCATCGGCAGAATAACCCTACCTCCGCAGCAGCACATTCCGCCGCCGTGCGCCACCCCTCCGAAGCGAACCCTCCCCCCCCCCAGACCGTGACGTCCTCGGCACCGCCGCCTCACCCGTCAGCGCCTCACCACCCGACCTCGTTCGCTGGCCCTCCTCCTGCGCCCCAGCCGTACCCCGACCACCCTCCTCCCCAGTCGCGACACATGAGTTACGACAATGGCCACTCCGTTCCGCCCACTCCCGATGGCTACCGCGGGCCTCCACAGAGCTACCCGCCGGCGCCCCCCACCCCCATACAGCAGCATACTCCTTACGAGTCGCACGCCGGATACCCCACCGAGTCGCTGTACAACTTCGCCTACTCGTCCAGCTTCCCGTCCAAGAAGAAGAACACGCGCGCTTCCCAGGTACGTCGATTGATGGATGAAATTCCGCCGTCGCTCGACAATTCGCTGTGAATCGAGTGACATGGGCCTCCAGCCCACCAACTGCCATGTCTCGCCCTGCCTTTCCCGTTCAATGATTACTAACAAACCTTCTTTGCTTCTCGGACAGGCGTGCGATCAATGCCGTCAGCTAAAGGCAAAATGTGACGAGACGAAACCTTGCAAGACATGCCGAGACAAGGGACTCGAGTGCAAATACCGAGATCCCGTACCCAAAGCGTCAGTAGCCAAGACAGCACCCCCCCCCCCCCCCCCCCCCCCCCCCCCCCCCCCCCCCCCCCCCCCCCCCCCCCCCCC